ATCGGTACATGGATTTGTTTGTTGGCCACTCCGCATATAGTCTGCGTCATTTTATAGGCCATAGGAATCAGCAGAGGGTTGCTAGCTTTGTTAGAGAGGCGTTTAGGACTCGAGATTACATTCAGACCTTGTCTCATGAGCCACCCAAGGCTCCTACGGGACTTTAAAATAAATTGATTGATTGATTGATTGATTGAGTGTGAGTCAGCACGGCCAGCAGCTTCAGCTTCGGACAGGAGAAACAGGACAGACGGGCTTTTAGCTATTGCCCCCGGCTCCAGCTAGGATGAGCGACGGTGTCAGCAACAACCTTCAAGTTTTAAGGCTTGAAGCTTTGAAGGGTCCAAAGAGGCTACAGACTCCGTCCTATGGTGGATAATTGGGATCATCCCATGCTGAGCTAAGTTGAACTTTGAAGTTTGGCTCTATTAGGCTGAGCATCTCAATGTTCGAACATCTCTAGGACAGAAGACAGAGGCTGGACCGTCGGCGTCACCGCAAAGTTCCAACTTGTGCTCATCTTGAATCCAGTGATTTAGTGGCTTACATATTGAGGGCACAGGATCTCACCATGGCCTGTCATCGGTTTTGTTGTCCCACTGCGCGACTGGTCAGGTTCAAGTATACTTAAGGTCACGTTGAGGTACCGAAATACGTAAGAGCAAATCAGAAAAGCTATACAGACAAGCTGAGGGAAGCAGCTAGAGTTGGCTGATTGCTCGGTGGCTGCTCACCAGGAGGATTCTGCTGGCAAAGCAAAACCTTCTGGGGGGGGGCGAGCTGTCTGAAAAGTGCTCCCGCAGGAGGGGCGCAGGTGAGCGCTTGCAAGCGGCTGGCAGTGGCACTTGTGCAAATTGGATTCAGGTAGGTCTACAGAAGGCTCAGCTGTTAAGGGCCAGCAGCTTCCAGCAGAGCTTGCAATTGGTGACTTTCTTGCAGATTCGAATTGGAAGATACATAACTTTATTTTTGATATCTGACTGAGTATTCAATAAGCTTCAGAACCTGGGTCATGGAATGCGCTTCCGTATTGGTTCACTCAAGACAGAATTGAGGATGACATTCCAGCCCTTCTGTCTGAAACTGCAACAAGGTCAGACGAGCGTGTGATTGTTTGATGCGTTCAGACGATCTTGCAGCCATGAGCAGGGGTACACAATTCCCATGAGTGATCTTTTTAGATGAGTCGGCAGAGGGATTCGCAGCACACCCTAATGCAGAGTGTGGGGTTGCAAGAATGTTCGGTGTGAGACCCTTCTCAACACGTATCATTCCAAGCATATTCACTTCGGGGTTGGAGCAAAAGCTGGTCAAGAGTCTTGTGGTCCCTTCCAGTGTTGAAGGAAATCATGTGTGAGTATCAGTGCACTGCACCCGCTTGGCTTTTGCTGAGGATGGATACTGATATGCTTTTTGTTGGTCACCTTGTTTTGACTTACTGGGAGCAGCTGACTTCGACTGACTGGGGGCAGCTGGCTTGCCAGCTAGGGGGTAGCTAGTGTGGGCCAGCATGTCATGCCTTTCAAGCGCCAGCATCAGAGTCAGTCAAAGTGTCGGCGGCATTTACGATGTTGCCGTCGAGCGGCTTGCAGTAAAGCCTTTTTGGCTTCGGATGTGCAGAGCAGAGCGGGGCGCATGCAGGGTGGTTTGCTGACTAGCACTCTGGCATTTGTTCTGATCTAGTCTTGTCTCCGGTGGCAATCATTTCCAGGAATAGAATATCAGAGCAAAAGCCTCAGCACAGCAAACAGCGCAGTAAATAACGCAAAACATCAATGTGAGATATAGACGATGCTGGTAGGTTGCTGTTGAGGTGACTCTTCAACTGAGAACACAGGAAACGCATGACCACGTCAGCATTAACCAAGCCCTACAAGTCTTGTCACAAACCAAACCTGATCGAGTACTCAGAATGGCAATAGTTTTGTGCATTTCAAGTCATGTGGACCTTCAGACTTGCCGTTGCGCAAGCTGTCTTGGCCTACTCTTTTTTGCTTGCCGATGGACTCGTCTTCTGGGTAGGCATGAACCATAGCTCATTCTTATGCTTTTTTCTGTGTTGCCGCCAGAGATGAGGAGTTCAACACTTGCACTAAAAAAATATGTGAAATCCATTAGATAAGACCGTGGCACCTGCATCAGGGAGCCCCAATACGGGAGCCTGGCCCGAGCCTGATCACAGCGTTGATTTTTCAATTGCAGTTACTCGTGTGTTGATAGCACCGCCTTATTGCGTTGGAGCAGCCCACCTCCATCCAGGGCAATCCAGCCTCCGATCGGAGCAAGAGGTTGCCTCAACCGCCAGGTTTGTACTTATGGGTTCGCTTCTGTGATTGGACCATACTGTTTCAGAACGCTTCTGCCTTGTGGGCTTCTTGGCCCGAATTGACATCGTCTTGGTCTTGACATGGGCTTCTTTGTCCAGATGATTTACAGGCCTGCTATATTTGATGTTGTATAAGGTTTGCATATGTATGCAAAGGTCATGGAGGGCTGTCAAGACAAAGTCTGACAGGCTGAAGCGATTAGCCACAAGCAGGCAATAATATCTATTAAGTACCAGCTACACTTTGCTGTCCTAAAAACCATCCACCTATTCTTTGATAACACTTGTCACTTGCTTTCGTTTGTTGTATCTCTCAGCTTCAAGGACGCTCAAGTCATCTGGTTAAAATGCCAAGAGCTCAAGTTTGCATCCTGCGGAAATGCAGGATCATGGATCCTGATGAGGCGGACCCGGGAATCAACCTGGAGGACGACAACGCCTCCAGGTTGATTCCCGGGTCCGCCTCATCCGACCAGAAACATCAGCGGTTTACTGGACAACAAAGAGCAGCCAGAGGCCGGCCTCAGCGAGCACAGGGGGCTGGACAATCAGCTCCTCGCAGAGCAAGAGGCAAGAGAGGCAGCCAGCGGCGACCGCCTGTCCCACATCGAGCAGAAGTACGCGCCATCAACATCACCAACGTCAGTGGTGGTGAGTCAAGTCAGACCACTTCTCAGGCACCAATTGTCTAGTGCACTATCCCTGGCTGGCGCTGCTTGCTTCTAGATTGCAAGCTATTCCCTTGCTGTGCCGAACTGGCTCTGTCTGCGAGGTTGCAATTACAAGTCCGGTTCAAGCAAGTTGCAGTTGATCAAAAGTGTACAGACAAGGATATCCTACAACAGCCATGCGCTTCAGAATGGAAAAATGAGGACGTCGCCGTTTCAAGCAGGCCCCAAAACCTCTTGTATTCTTGCCTGCTGGACAGTCTTTCTCATATGGCATTCGAATTGGCTGTCGTTCTTATCCATGTTCCTTTTTGCCACAGCCGCCGGCGGCCTTGACCCTAGAGGACCGCCTGAGAGCTGCAGAGCCTGCACCAAAAAAGAAGAAAAAGAAGAAGAAGCAACCAGCTGTGATCGGACTGGTGAGAGGGTTGCATCCAGGAGAACGTCGCATAGTCGCATGGCTTGCGCAGAGTGTTGTGGAATGAGTTGAATGTTGGTGGCTTTTGAGCAGAGTGGTAGGCTTTCGATGGTCCTGTTGCCGTCAAGATTGCATCGCTCATCAGCAGCTCGAACGAGGCGCAGCTACCCGCCAACTCAGAAGTATGTTTCTGATCATTCCTAGTTGGCTTGGCATGCGCAGTCAATCGAGCAAGAGATGGAATTTTCCTTTCCGGACCGGCTGAGAAAGATGATACTGGCGAGTAAGGCCGAGCTTTTACGAATGTAAGTGACCAGAAAAGTCGATCCTCCCCTCCCCTCAGGCTCACTGTCTTGTTGCATTCATCGATGCCAAATCACTATGCTTTGAACGATTGATAAGATCCGATCAATTCGTCGTGTCACAAAGCATCGAGATTCTCTTTCCACCCTTGCTGATCTGATCTGACTTGTCATTACTTCGCTTATGCAGCCTCCCGCGAACCCATACTCGCCGACGTCTCCGAAATATAACAAGGACCGCACGCTCAATGGGCCAGAGGCGTTCTATATCTTGCGCGCAGCAGATGCTGTGAGCACAAAGCGATCCCGCGTCGGTACACCGTGCGACTTCGTGCCGGGCGCTCTCAACGTCGACGACGATGAAGGGCCTTCAGCTGAGGTGGAGCCGGATCATCCACCACCACAGGCTGCTGAACGGGCCACACCCGAGGGTGTACAGGTTAGCAGAATTCAGCCCTCTTGATGCTTTGTTGAGACTTAAAAGGCCAGCCGCTGTCCCTCGTTTTGGAGCCCAATAGGTGAGGATGCATTTGTCTGCAAGGCCATAGCACTTGCCCATCCTCTCCCCGGCTTCTTGTTGCAATTGTGTAATCGCTCTAAGTCAAGAGTGCACACGTGATGGGAAGAAGCCAAACATTGTGAGCGTAAGTGGCTTCGCATTGAATCGAGCGCTCCGGTCTGTGCAGGAGGGAGATGCAACGGAGGGAGTTCCTGGCGAGCCCTCGGTGCCCGGGGAACCGGAGGCGACCTGCGGAGAATCGGGCCCCCATGCGGTGAGTCCACCCCCCCCGCTCGGCACTGAGACTAGCAATAGGATGCTCTGTGATCGCTCTCAAGAATTGCAGGAGCGGACCCGACTCTGGAAAGTGCAACTCATTCCGGTTCTGTTTCAAAGTAGGGCTCGAAGCCTCTGTAGTTTTGCTGCTGATCACAATTGCGACTGGGTATCGAGAGGGTTCAAAGGGCATGCTCTCTGATACGCATGCTCCACATGTGCAGGAAGAGGAGCCCGCCGAGCAGCCGCATCGGCTGCAGGATCCGGATCATATCGCAGCTTTTCGGGAAGGGTTGAGACAGGAGCAGGAAGAGGCCGACTTGCAGACAGACAGGCTAGCAGCAGAGCAGGTCATTATGCCAAAAAACTCTGGATATGCAAACGTACTCTCGACCCGATTTGGATACTTTCGATGATGTCTTGCGTCTATGTCTTATGCTCTATGCGTGAACATCGAAGGCGGCAGCGCCCATGAAATCTGCCAGTGCCAGGTCCAAAGTACATATGACGGCAGCATGATGCGACGATCGGCATGAAAGGATATGTACACGATTTGCTTCATCATGCACCCGATTGAGGTCCTTTAGATACTCGGCTACCCGAAGACCTACGATGTTCTGTTAATACTCGCTGACTCAACGCAGGCCGACGAGCTTGCCAAAGGTCTTCCCTCAGAAGGCCCGGAAGCGTATGAGACACGTGACTCGCCACACGACGAGCACGTGGAACATGATGTACCTCCCACGCCGGAGCATCTGACACGATCAGGGTACGAATGCTCCCCCTCGCTCTCACCTGGTGGACCGCATGTATGCCGTCTCATGTTCGATCTAGTACTTTCGAATCTCATCAGAAGGATCGTCTCTTCGTGCCCCAAACGCCGCAAGCGAATTGATCGAAACGTGCCCTCTGCTTTCCAGGGCATCGCCACGCGCTACAGAGACATTGGCTACCCCCTCTTCTCCGGCAAGATCACCTGGAGCCCGCAGACAAGGAAGAAGCGCTTCAAGTTTCCGAAGGATTGGCCGACGTGCATGCTGGCCAATTGCTTGGAGGCGTTCGTGCGCGATGGCGACGACGCTCTGATGATCAACACCACCCGCTGCGATCTCCTAGGCGTCGACATCGACGTCAAGGAAGGTGGGATGGCCGCTTGGGCGGCCATGGAGCAGGCGCACGGAGGGCCGGTCCCGGCGCCACGGTGCCGGGCCGGGCACCGTGGCGCAGAAGCTCGGCGGTTTTGAGTGGCAGTGGTGGCTCATTGTGGAGTCCGATCTGATCCGGGACTATCGAACGTATCTGGATCGATTCGATGCACATGATGCCGCTGCCAAAGCGGCCAGGGCAGCTGTGGATGCCGCGCGCGAGCGGTGGTTCGAGAAGGAGATCGACAGCAAGTTTAAGAGCTCGTTGGCATACCGGCGCGGTGTAGCGTAGCACGTAGAACTTCAATCGGACTAGGCCTTGCGCGAGGCGTTCGTTTGGCACCCGTTTTTTGATCTGCCCTAAAGTAAGATAAAAACGTTCACACCATGCAGAGTGTGATCGATACACACATAAGGAGGTCCGATCAGGTGGAATTGTACTATCGAGAATGCCCTGGATAAAGCATTAGGCCGAATAAAGAGAACGTACGAAGAAGAACGAGGCACAAGCATGATCCTTAAACTGGGTGGATCGCCGGTTTGAAAGGATTTCTCCCCCCTCATTCCATGCATGACCTGGTCAAGGTCGTCCATTTGGGAGTCAAGAGAGCAGGAGTACGAGCGCACACATGCCACGATCCACATCATCTTCTTGTAGAGTGGGGCGATGTGCTCAAGAAATCCACACGCCCGCAAGTCACATTCGACAAGCATGCTAAGCTTCTAGAGCATGCAACAGCAGATGGGGGACCGCGATATATATTCAACGGAGACCGTGGTGCGCCAGTTCCGATGTTGGATGCAATGAGCAACCCTTCAAGGTTTTACTAGGCTTATACTGGGATGTCATGCATCAAGGCTTCATAATTCGACGATCATGCTTTTTTGCAGTTGAAATGTACGAGCATTCATAAGTGCACAGCATGCTTGCGAGCCTATGAGGGCGTATGCTCTTCAATTTAATCACAATCCATCTCACATTGACCGCGGATGGGATCATGTGCAACCAATGAGAGTTTTGCTCTTATTGCCAGCATCTTACTTAAAAATTCTATCACATTGAAGGAAGCTGCTTCTGCTGCACGCACGTGCAAGGCAGCCAATCAGATGATGGGCACACGATTGAAAGACGATGCAGCGCTCCAGATAATCTCTCAATCATCTGGTTGTCAGATCATACGTTTTTCGGGTGAATGGAAGAAATGCACAGCTCCAGCATGCCCAAACCTCACGGAAGGTCGATACCCGCTCGAGCCTTCGATTGGCCGTGTTGTGTGCGAGTATTGTTGGGTACCATTTGAACTTTCCTTGATCGGCCGACTTTGGGACAAGATATGCATGCAAGCAATAGCAACATGGAATCCAAGACTTAAGGCATGCTCAGGAACGAAGCTTATTCCTCTTGTCCTTACTCAAAACGGGCCCTTTATGTATATGTCTATCTGACCAGGACTTCTTTGATTCCCAAGTTCGGAAACCTCTGATCATTCTCTTCTTGAACTTCAGAATTCTGCGCACTTAGCACTTGCGAAGACCCCCTCTTGCTGCCTAGCCCCTCAAACTCCCTTCCCAGCAGCTTCGACCACGTCTTCTCCAATTAACAGACTACCGGTTGACTTTCTCCCTCTTCTTTTGCACAGCCCTTGCATCTGACCGCTGCCTCCGCAGCCAGAGGGGGTGCCTCCTCAACCACGCTCTGCTTGCTCATTGATCCCCCGCTCAAGTCCGCAGCCTTGCCCCGACTTGCCAGCCCCTTTCTTGTCCCTCCCCTTTGGTTTCGATCCTTCTCATTTTCGTGCTCACATCCGTCCGCCTGCCCTTTCTTTCGCTAACTCCTCCCCTGTCATCTGCCCACCTTCTTCTCAGCCTGTGCCATCGACTCCCGCATCTTCCTTTCGACCTCTCAATATGTTTGTCAAGCACTGTGCACAGCAGCGAGTCTGCTGCGCTCAACATGCCGTACCGCTCAACTGGCGCCTGAGACTCGCTCACAGTGGACGCTTGGACGTTCTGCAGATGGATGAAAAAACCAAGGTCAGGAACCTCGTCTAGTCTTTCTTTGGTGCTTTTGGACCGGTCAGCGGTTGTCACTTGCTGATCGTGGCTCGCAAGTAATTATCCAGCTTGCAGCTCTCGTCAAGTTCCTCAACCAAGCCGCAACTCTTCCCTGCATAGGATCTTAGCAATACAACGGTATGCATCTCTTCCAGGAGAGAGAGACGAAAGGCAAACGCTGCACATCCCTCTGCCAAGCAGTTTGCACACAGCAATCGACAAGCAACAAGCATCCAGTTCAGCAAAAACAGCTGCCAGAAAAGTCCTAAGCCTTCGCCTCGACACTGCAAGCTCAAGATAGGCCCGCTTTCTACCCGTTCCAGCAAGAGGTGCGTATTCCAAGATGGCCCTGCTGCTAGCATGTCCAGCCTGCCCTTCAACAGTGAGCTTTTCCGCATAACATATCACTTACCTTAGGGGGCCTGTCCCCTGCCTTCTGCCGCCTCCAGTTCTTCGGACTCCTTTAAGTCGGCCTCCTCTGCCACAAGCTCTTCGTTACTTTTTGCCGCATCCAGAAACTTTCTCAGCTCTTCTGGGAGAAGTTTCGTCTTTCCCGTCTTCCGCTTTCCATCAATCACAACCCGGATGGACGGCTCCACCATGTTGTCATCATCCGCCTGCTTGCCCTTCCTCTTTCTATCCTCCTCCTCAGCAGCCGTCTTCTTGGCAACAAACTCTCTCATCCGGGTTCTGAGGGGATACCCGATGAAAAGGCTGATCACCCCGTCCACCCCCCTCTCTTTGCTAAGCGCCTTCTGTGCCACTTTTCGCAACTCCTCCTTGTCCACTTTCCCCTCAAACAGGTACTTGGGGTCGACCGTTTGGATGGCCCTGGCTAGGCTGTCCAACTTCCACCGAAGCTTCAGTTGACAGATAACAAGATAGAGCTGACCCCCAACAACCACGAAAAAGAGAAGGTCTGGTCCAGCGCTCGTCTCAGGAAAGAACCAGACGACCCCATTGGGGTTTTGCAGCCACTCAAGCACGCCCATGCCCTTGGTCGCTAGGCGCACTACGGCATCTAACCCTGTCGGGTTAGCCACTGTTTCGAAGCAGTACTTGCCATCGGGAGCCAACCGGACGCGTGCCAAGCTCGCACCCTCCCTCTGAAAGCACTCCGGCAGCTCTCTCTTGAGGTTGCTGAAGAGTGGCATATCCGCTAGAGCCCCGTCGGTTTCGAAAAGCTGGGGAAGCTGGTCGGGAGCCACCAATTCGAACCACTGCCCCAGCATGGCTGGGAAGGGTTTGCTCTGCGCCATCAGAGTCAGCGTGTGCTCCTTGGCACTCCATTTAAGCTCCCTTTCCAGGAAGTTGGAAAGCGCCCTGACCGCGAGGGGCTCCTCGATTGAGGCCACGATATCGTTCTTGGGTGAGCGGTGCAATTTCACAAAACCAAGGTCCACAAGGTCGAATTCCTTGTGGTGTAAGAACAAGCAGGGGGCCCCCAGCCTTGCATAGGCAAAAGCAACCCGCTTCAGCAGCTCAAGCAGCTTATGCCCCTCTACCCCTCGCTTCAACAAAGCACCCAGGCGGCCGTACAGGAACTGGCGTTCATACACGTCCTCGAGCTCGTTTGCCAAGAAACGTTCCTTTCCTTCCTCTGTTGTGTGCAGCCGGACTAAGGATCTAAGACACGTCAAGACGTCCTCCTGTCCGCTCAGCGCCCAGTCCAGCACAACCCTGGCTGCAAAGCGCCTCCTCCCAACAAGGAACTTCAGGTCGTGTTCTGGAATGTCCTGCGAACCCGCATAGCTCACCAGATAGGTGAGTGCGGATGCCTCATTGAAGGTCCCGAACTCGACAACAGGGAACGGCTTGCTTCCCACTTTCATCAATGCTGAAGCCACGAGCATGCTCTGAGACAATGACAACCCCGTGCCCGAAAGCACGACATGAATGTTCTTGAAGAGGGCGGAATCGCTGGCGATGACAGCGAGGAAGGCTGACAGCAGGGGCCGCCCCTCTGCCTGCCCTGCGACGGCCCCATTCGAGAACATGCCAGGAAGCTCCTTTGCCCAGAGCTGAGCCTCGTCCAACACCAGGATCAGGAACTTGACCCCCTCAGCCTTTAGGGTGCTCAGACAGGCCGCTAGTTCGGTGTGGACGAGCTCCTTGAGTTCCTCGAGCGACGCATGCCGCAGCACATTGTACGCCTCCGCAAAAGTGTCCTGCACAACGATGGTGATCCTGATCAGTAAGCTGCACAAAGCAAGCAGAGGTGCACCGTCTAGCCGCCCAAGGAAGAATGGGTGCCTCTTAAGAAGAGAGCCACGTTTTAAGCACCTCTCTTAATCAGCGGATGAGTGCAGACCAAACAAACCAAAACGAATGACCGAAATCACTGCTGCAGAAGGGTGTGAAACAGCTCAACTCAACTCCTGGTGCAAACAGGAAAAAGGTATTGGAGGCACCTGAACTTAGCAGTCCAACTTGACGGATAAGCTCAAAAGGGCGCGTGCATCCTCTTCTTTTCTTTGGAGTAGCACCGTCGCAAGAGGCACCGCATGGAAAATGCCCAAAACGAACCCAAAACAAACGCAGGGTCCTGCTGGCACACAGCAAGAGATACTGGGGAGCAAGCAAGAGACTAATGATACTGTGGCTAGGAATTGGAAAAGACAACACACCATTACCTGCTGCCCCTGATAGACCGCCACGAGCTGGTAGAGCAGCCACTGCTGGGGGTCACATCCCAAGAAGAGGCACTCGCTGAGGTGCTTCAGGCGCGAAAGCAGCACAGCGTACACGTGCTTCTGCACCCGCGCTTGGTTGCTCTCCCAGGAATCAGAGCCCTCCTTGCACGTGACCTTGAGGCGGCCCAAGAGTTCCCACAAGTCGCTCGAGCCGACCTCTTCTTGGCCGCAGCAGCTAAAGTAGAGAAGACCTGCCCGCAAGCAGCCCAGCTCCAGCGCAGTCCTTGTCTTCCCATAGCCCGAGGCAGCCATGAAGCTCGTTACGGAGAGGTTCTGAAACGTGTGCCTCTTTTCCATCGCTTCAAGTAGCTCTGGGGCTTGCGTCCGCGTCAGCTCTTTGAAGTGAGAACTTGGGAGACGGTCCACTAGGAGACTGGGCTCTCCCCTTGCCAGGGGGATCTTGTTCTGGTTAATTTCTGCGGCATGTGCGAGTTGAGAGGGCTGCTCGAAGGGGACAATCTGTAGCTCTGTTTGCAGCTTTCCAAGTGCACCCCTAGCTCGGCTAATCACAGCTTCGCAATGGTGTTGTACGCAAAACCACTCAGCGTCTCTGCTCTTCTCCAAGCGCGGATCAGACGAGCTAGCCTGCACCGCATAAATGTCAAGCTGCTCTTTCAAACGAAGGAAACTTCCAGCGTGAGTGTCCGCCGGTGGTATATCCACACATATGCCCAAGAGGACATGCTCGGAGGAAGTAGAGGCGCAGGAAGACGCCATGCAAGCGATCGAAAAGCTAAGACTGGTACTTAAAAGACTCGAGCAGAGCATTAGAGAAGAGGCCCTTCTGGCTCTGGTGCGGTTGCGGCGAGAGAGAGTCAGCAGAAATCACTGACCTTGAGGCCCGCATCTGAGATGGCCGCCCAGTTCTGCAACGCCAGGATGTCGCTCCGTGCATCTGCATAGAGGCTGCGTGTTCATTCTCGGCCACAATGAAGGCATTGCTTGAAAGGAGAGCAGCTTGTGGGCAGGGTCGCTACCAGGCAATGGCAGAACGCAATCACATCAGGAGTTCGAGATGCAGAAGCTTGTTGGGTTGCTCAACCTATCTCTGGATTGTCCATCATGCACCAAACAGTAAGGCAGAGAGCCGGGGAAAGTAGTTGTCCGACACTCGAGACTATTAGCTTTCAGGCAGCAGAAGTGCCAGTTCCAGGGCTGGTTGGACTTCAGTTGCCAAGGAAACGAGCTTCACGATCTTGGTCTAGGAATGTTGGACAGCAGGAGCACTAAGCAAGCAACAAGCAACCTCAAAAAGCACTCTGCCGATCCAGGCATGCCATGACGCAACATGACAGACATGAGCGGCAGAACTCACAATCCGGGCTCCCCTGATCAGCATCCTGCATCTCCACATCGGTAGATTGGCCCGCTTCTGCATCCTGACCCCTCCTGCCAGCAGCTGCAACAGAAGGAGAAGCGATGAGGGCGCTGCATGCATAAGCTCTGAGGCAGCGAGCAAAGTGAAGAGCTGGCCATTGGAAAATTGCATAAGGGTGACGGCTGACAAGCACCCTAATGCTCATAAGTTGCACCTGGTCTGCCCACAATTGCACAGCAGACCACTTTCTGCTCCAGAGCAACTCCGCTTCTGCTAGGACACACCCCATGCCTAGCGTGCACCAGTGCCCTCGGCAAGATCGACAAAGAAGCGACTATACTCTCCAGCAAACAGCCATGTCCCTTCCCATGCCATCTTCTCCAAGCTTCCCTGCCGCTACATGCTAAACAACAACACCAAAACGGTTGAATCCTTCGTTTCCATATATGCGTACCTGAGAAAACTTTGATCTGGGGGCGCTGAGTCAGCCGCTCCATCAGTGGCGGGGCTTTTAGAGCCTTTGCCCGCTCGACTTCCCGGAAGACAGGATCACCCCCAGGGCGCAGGGGCCTACCCCACACAAAGACTCTCTCCTTTTTGCCAAACTGGTCCAGCAAGTGCAAGCGCTGGGCTTCTTCAGCAGCAGTGTCTGGCAGCAGTTTGATGTCCATAGGGATCCCCTCTGTCTCCCCCTTTGGTATCGCATTAAGGTCCGACGTCCTCCAGATGCACAGTTCCATCTCTATCTCCTGCACAAGTGGACACCAGGAATCATGTTCAGTTCCGATTATCTGGCGCCCACAACAGATTATCTTCCTCAACAAACTCGCTTAGCAAGCTGAAGGCTTACAAGGCGGAGGCCCTGTCAGATGCAGACTACAAATGCCCACTGCCTACTGTCGGTTCCGTCAGAGCGCAATTGTGGAAGCAGCCTGTCAGGCTTTCATGGTCTTAAACTAGAGCTTTGGTCGTACGTCCGAAGGGAGGACTAAACCTACCTCGTCGTGTTTGCCAGCTGTTTCGTTGTTTCCAGGCGGAGCGCCGTCGTCCCCTCCTCCCCTCAGTCGAAGCAGGAGGTCTAAGGTGTGGTTGGCCTTGACGCCACAGCTGCGCAGCGGCGTGGATGCTTCCAAAGGCCTTCCACAGAACGTCAATCGTGTATCCGCTTCCGGCGAGCTTCCCTGGAAGTAGCATGCGAAACATGCGAGCGTCAGGAACAATTCGCAGATAACCTCCAGCAAATAACCTTCGCCGTTCCATTTAGCCTAAAGTAGAGGCAGGAAGGGCCTTCTGAGCCCTGGTTTTGATAGCAACGCTATTGTTCAACCCTGAGGCTGTGCATTTATGAAACGAACCAATCATGTCCCCTATACTGCCTCCTTTACAGCCGACGACACCAAATCCAGAAGAAGGGATGATGAAGGGAAGGCAACTTCGACTTCGAGCTCCTGAACACCAGACGATCCAACATGTGAACCCTCCCGGTGGAAGCTTGCGCAACAAGACTCCCGTTTTTACCTGGAAGGTCTTCAGCAGTTGTGCGGCAGTGGCTGATTGGAGAATTGCCCTAGCAACCGTCATCCCTCCTGGTGTCCTCACGAACACCTGCATGTTTTTGCTGGGTTGCCCTTTTACAGCCCCGTTCGACGACACTGAACCCCGCATCTCAGTCTCTCCAGAGACACTGCTGGTTTTAGGTTGTTGGACGCTGTTTGGGGTCTTGGGTCGTTGACACAGCTCGTCGATAGGGCTCGGGGATTTCATCTGCAGCAAATAATTCTTGTACGCTCAAGAAAGCAGCTCCTCCTCTTGTAATAAAGTAGCAACCTGAACACCAAAGGAGCACCCTGGACACAAAAGCATAGACGCAGAAATGGTTTGTGCTCCGCGCTTCAATTGTCCTTGGTGCCACAAAGAGTTGGTCTCTTTGCCCGAGTACTTGCAAGGATTTAGCAAGGGCTCTCTTGGTGCATCCTCCCACAGCAGACGTGCTGCCCAGGCGCGTCAGCGCGGCCTTGGCGTTCTTGCGCAACAGTATGGGCCCCTTGCTCACTGTCACTGGCGAGTAGCCCACCTGGTCGCAAATCTCCACTGCCTTCTGGTCCTCCCCCCCGGCTTGAGCGGCGACGGTCTCGCAAAGGCTGCCGTACTGCCGGTCCACAGAGTGTCGTGCATCAACCATGAGCATCTTGCGGTCGTGCTTGTTGCTGCAACTGCACGCACGAGCTCAAAGATAGGTTCAAGCTTGGCACGAGGTCACAAGGAGAAAACGCACTCTGAGCTAGGCACGGTATGAAGGGAGCTCACGACACGCGCTTCAGATGGGGACTTCCGAAAACTGATTAATCCTTCTCCAGCAGAGAATTCCCTAGAGGGCCCGTCCGCAGCTCAGCACTGACAACCGCTTTGTTGATGCAGCGAATGAGCTTCAAAAGGGGCTACCATGTGGATCCTCTGTCTGACTCAGACTGGGGCCCTCTTGCTCACCCAAGCTCGTCCTCTGCCATCTGCTGCGCCCAGTCGTCTCTCAGTGGCCCGCTCTGCGGGTCGCGCATCCTCCTGCCGTTGCCTGCGAAGCCCTCGTTGATGCAGTCCCGCGCAAAGTGCCCGTCCTCCCCACACATGAAGCATAGCCGCCAGCAGCCATTGGGGCAGTTGGGGGACACATGGCCCTCCTCCCCGCGGTGGAAGCAGGAGCAGCTGCCCCTGGTAAAGCGAAGCAAGGGGGACTCAGCAGCGGTGCACTAAAGTCTGGCCACATGAAACGTGTGCAAGGAGCTTCAGGGAGCTTACTACAACAGCTACGGTTTTAGGCAACAAAAAACAAAGCACTAAGGAAAGACTCTGCAGGGACCGACAATGCTATCAAATGGACCGACATTCTGCAGCAATAGTAGGAAAGGGGCTTTTGCTTACATAATTTGTTCCAAGGCACTTGGCGCACAGCCCTCCTCTGGCAGCGGTCCCTCCGACATGGCCTTGTCCACCTCCCGCGCCTTGCTGGCAGTCCCGGTCATGCCTGCACCACAGGGAGCAGGCGGTCAGGCCCAAGGTGAGCATTGAACTGCAAGGCCCTTGCTTTCGATTGGTCATTTGCTAAGCTAGGAGACAATCGGGAGCGCATACTCCTGTGCGGGACGGCGAGGTGAGGGCCCGCCAGCACGTGCTGCTGCCACCTGGCGCACCTTGCGCGTCCGTGGGGCCAGGCTCCTCCTCGTCCTTGCTCATCAGGTCCTCCACAGTGAAGGCCCCCGACATGATCCACGCTTCATCCTGCGGGTTGGTGTGCACGCCGTTCTTCGGCAGCAGCTCGCGCGTCAGGTAGTCCTTGTTGTACAGCCCCTGCCGAAGTGCGGACCGACAGTGTCCTTTTTGCTCGTGCTCTGCTTCCTCCACTCACTGACAGTTTCTGGACTTTGCACCTCGCAGATTGAGAAGAGGAGGCAGGGAGAAGGAACCCCACACGACCAAGAATGCCAAAGAAAAGAAGAGACCCTGAGTAGCCTGCCTACTACTCGTCCCAACATCGATTGGCACCCTGTATTAATTAACGACCATCGTGCCGTTGCTTATTGTGTTGTTTGAGAAGTTCTTTCCAGCAGTTTAGCACTGACACTGAGGGCACAGAATTGCTCCTGATGCTGGATGCTCGAGTACAACCAGTGCTGGTCCCGCCTGAACTGCAGGATTCCCCCTGTCCAGGCTCACCTCGTCTGCAGTAGGTCCAGGGTTGCTCTCAAGCCCACCCATGATTGGATGAGTGGCTGCACATGAGGAACAACACATTGGAATGCTAATGCTGAAAGCAGCTGGACTCATCAGGGCACGAGCGAAAACCCCCAAGCAAGTCTAAAGAACCATCATAGTAGGATTAGCCTAAGTGCTCTACAAGCGCTTGCAAATACAGAGCAAGCCCAACTGCTGTACACATGATTGCAGCTTCAGAACCGCAACCGAAGCGCCTTACCTATGAGCGACTTGCTCATGGGCAATGAAGCCCAATCCCCCGTACTTTGCGACTCATTCCAAGCTGCAGAAGCAACGGTGAAGCGCTGGATTCAATTGCCATCACAAAAGCATCACATATCACTGCACAGCAGAAGAAGCCATGACACGCCAAAGGCATGCAAGGGAACTCACTGCCCCCCCCCAGCATGAACAAGAGCACAATGGATTAAGTTAGATCGCGCCACATGCTTACCTGATGTCGGTTTTGCGGCGAACGAGGTCCCTCCAAGGTTTCGCAGCTCCTCTTCCAATCTTCTCTCCTCTGCTCTCAAGCGGCGCAGCTCTCGGTCCTCTGCCCAACCTGCAGGAGCATCCAGAGCACGTCAATCTCGACATCATATTCTAAAGGCCCATTGCTGACCACTAGGGGAGCAGCTATGAGCGTTGCAACAGCAGGCTCCCCGACTGCTCTCACCTGCGCGGTCTTTATCGACCCGAAAGCAACCGGTGGATGGGGCATGCGTTCTGCACGAGTACTTGACGCTGCCCCCCTCCTTGCTTCCCCGCAGCCCAAGCTCTGCAGTGGTGCCGCACGCGTGGCAGTGAAGACTGTGCAAGTCTGCAATGAAGAAGCGCAGAGGTTGGGTAATGAACCTGGAGTCTAAACTTGGAGATGCATGCAAGACTTGGTGCGTGCCCCTGCCTTTTGCAGTCATGTCTCTTTCTTCTGGCAGTGGGGTTGGAGGTTTGTAATTGCCAGCATGTACCAAGAATCAGCCTTCTATACTCTAAAGAGAAAGAGGCTGATCTTGGTACACTGCAGGGACGGCCATACCCGCTAAGACTCCTCAAGGACTTTGTACTTCACAGCACGTACCAGGATCAGCCTTTCATACTCTAAAGAGAAAGAGGCTGTTCTTGGTACACCCCAGGGACGGCCATGCCCGCTAAGATTGCTTAGGACTTTGATAATTGACAGCATGTACCAAGAATCAGCCTCTTGTATTTTAAAAAGAAAGAGGCAAATTCTGGTACGTCCCTGCAGGGCCAGCAGACATTATGCTTACATGGAAAAAAGCAAACTGTTCCTGGTGCAAAGGAGGCCTGGGGGCACCCTTCCCAAACTGAGACCATGCTTTTCTTGGTACAGAGTTGTAGAGCCAGCCGCACCCTTCACATTTCTGACGGAGCTAGCGAACATAGTGCGTACCAAGATCAGTCCCTGCGTTATTCTAAGAGAAACGCCTCGTTCTTGGTACATCAATGCAAGGCAGCCATCCATGTGACTATATGAACAAGATTGTGATTGAGTGCAGTGTACCAAGATTTGCCCATCACAGAAAAGACGCTCTTCTTGGTACATCACTGCAGGCCCAACCTTCACTTTTCTGATGGACGCTAAAGTTGCAGCGCAATGCGTCCCAGCTTCTGCCTGGCCCCTGCTTGACAAGTCAAAACACTCCACCTAGAAGCACATGCACCAGAAACTCACCTCTTTCGGCAGCTTTGCCAAGCATTTTCCCAAGGCGCTGATTTGCTCCACTCCCAGACGCTGTGCAATACCCGCGCTGTGCTGACCCACGAGCAGTCCATGCCTCTTTCTTCAGACTACTGGACTTCTGGCTTCTTCGTTTCTGAGAGGCATCTTGAACATCGCACTCAGCGTTCACAGCAGCGATGCGCGCCTCCTGCTGCTCAACGCTGATGCTTATCCTCTCCCTGTACTCAGCAGCGCGCGCATACCGAGCTTCCTGACAGACCCTGTGATCAGACTTGGACCGGCCATGAGGCCGGCCTCTTGCCATGATGAGACAATTCAAGGACCAGCACTTCTGCCCCTGCAAGCCCAAGAGGAAAGAATCGGAGGAACAAACCCTAAAACCACGTCGACCTTCTTCGAACTAGGTCGCTCAGTTGCGTTCTTGAAGAGATTCCATATGATGTATCATCCTGATGCCTTTAGAGGCTGCTCAAAACAGGCCAAGAGCCAATCCTGGCCTGATAACTATGAAAACAGCACGAAGTTTGGCGTAACTAGCGCAACGCTTATGCTGCTTTTGGGAACTCCTAGAGAGTCTCGATTACGCTTCGCGCCTTTTGCATATGCTGACAATTGATGCAAGGGCCACACAATGCCAGTGACTTACGTCCTTGAGTATCAGAAAAGGATCGGCAGAGCCAATCTGACTGACACATTGTTCTATGCTACAAGTGCATCTAGAGGCAACCAGGTAGAAACTTACCTGGTTCACAACATTCTCAAAAGCGCTTCAGAGATGCGCCACCACAGCAGTCCACAAAATGCCAGTTCCCGTTCATATCAATTGCCGGCCAACCTGAAAACCCTGAACCACACCAATCTGCCCTGCAGCTCCCCTAAAGCCCGCCTGCTCTTATCCCACAGCAGGAGGCCTAACCCACAGGAAGCCGCTAACCGCTCAGAAAAAGTGCCATTCAGCAAACCAAACGAACTTCGGCCTTAATTTTGGCCGCCCGATAAGTGACACGTGTCCCCCCCGGCCCGAGGTCCCGCCGGCGGTCCGCCGAAATCGTTGCCTAATACCTAATAATACGAGTTTGACCAAAGTCGGAAAGGCTCGCCGGTAGCCCAAAACCGGCAGGCGGCGGCACTGACCCAACCGCTTTTGCACTTCGACGGCGCAATCTCGTCAATTTCTCCGGGCCTCACTACCATCGGGCCGGGGGGGACACGTGGTGCCAATCGGGCGGCTGAAAATAAGGTTGAACTTCATTTGGTTTGCT